CAACTCGGGGTCACCCACGGACGCCCCCTGGCTGGCCCGTGGCCAGCTGGAGAGTTCGAGGGAGGGACAAGGGAGGTCAGGTTTCTCGGGTCGGTGGGAGCAGAACCCAACGCAGGGACTGGCTCCAAAGCGTCACCCAACGCCAGGCCGGTCTGAGCCGGGAACCCGGGCTCCCCGCCCCCACGGGGCTACTCGTCACCCCTCAGCGTGGCCTACCTGCTCACGGGTGCCCATCTGTGCCACGTCTGAGCACTGACCCAAGCTGTGCCCTCCGCCCAGAATGCCTCCCGCTGGGCCTGCTCCGGTGCCATCCAGAGCGACAGCCCCCTTACCCACTGGTCTCCCACTCCCACTCGTGCCCTCCCCTGATCCAGGAGGAGCGTACTCAGCCCCCACCCCCAACGAAAAGAGTGAGTCCCATCCCCTGGGAACCCCACCAGGCAGGGTCCTGAATGGCCCCTCGGCCTTTGTTTACCCGTCTGTGAAATGGGCCCAGCCACCCACCCACCAGACAGACGGTGATCCAAGGCGCTGAGGGGTAAGCTCAGGAAGTACAGGGCCTGGTACACAGCAGGTGCTGCATGAATGTGGGTCCCCCACTCCTTGTCAGGGACTCAGGGGGGAGCTGGGAGATCTATTCTTCACACACTGGGGCTCCCGGGAGGAGGGGGCCACGGCTGCCTCAGACAGAGGACCCCCATTTTCGACACCAAAATGCATATTCCTGACGGGGAGGGTGGGGAGCGTGTCCCCACAGCACAGGGCACCCAGGTGACAACCCAGTCAGGTCCTCTGCCTGGGACGGGGGGAGGAGGCCCCCGGGAGGGGGAGGCACCCCAGGGCATGGGCATCTGCAGCTCAGACAGGTTTTGCATGGGTGGGAGGGCCCTGGGGACCCCCCAACCCCCGAGGGAGGGGACGTGACAGGTCTAAAGGGCCTGCAGGGGGGCCCGGGGAGGGGACCATGGCAGGCTGGTACCTGCCTGGCCATCTCGCTCCATCATGTCCACGCTGGGCCGGAGGAAGAGCCCCAGGACATAAGCAAGACACCTCAACTCCAGATCGCCCTTGGGGGTCGCTGTCCCTGCCTCCCCACCCAGGCAGGACCCCGCTCGACTCCCCTTCGGAGAGTCGCGGCCCTTCCAAGGTCACGCCTGGGGCGAAGGCAGAGGCCGGGTGGGACCAGGGTGGGGGCGGATAGGCGGCGACGGGGGGCCGAGGGGGTGCGGTGCGGGCTCACCTGGTAGTTGTCCAGCTGCTCCTCCGT